CCCATATGATGCTGTTAATTTCATGTTGTCCCATAGTTCCCTTAAACTATCGTTCTTTTTCATTCTTTTTTCTTTTTGTTGCTCTGTTTTGGGTGGTTTTTTCCTTCCTTGCTTTCAAATCACTGATTTGATCCTCTGCTTCGTCCAGCCTATTTTTATTTCCTTCTAGTGTATTCTTGATGTCAGATATTGTATTCTTCATTTCTGACTGTTTCTTCTTCATAATTCCTATGTCCTTTTTCACATTGTTGTGTTCCCACTAAGTTCTTTGTAGTTCTCATTAAATTTCTTGTAGTTATCACTACGTTGTTTGAACATCCTTATAACCATTATTTTGAACTCTGTGTTTAATAAGTTGCTTGCTTCCATTTCATTTGGTTCTTTTTCCGGAGATTTTCCCTTTTCTTTCATTTGACTGTTGTTTGTCCCACCCTTTTAGCTGTCTCTTTGTGTTTGTTTCACTCTGTTAAATAGAATTACCATGACTCTCACTCTTCGTGATGTGGTCTTATGTAGTAAGTACCCTGTTGAACTCAGTGACTCAGTGGTACAGTCTCCTTGATCTCCTGAGCTGAATGCTCTAAAAATGTCCTTTGTGTGGGTTATGTGGGCCTTCCTGTTGTAACTGGGAGCTTAATGCTGTTGGCCTGTTTGTGGGTGGGAGTGACTTTTGCCCCACTGAAGTGAGTTTAGCACAATGGGGCCAGCAGGATTTAGGAATGCAAATCCAATCCACCTTTTGATTGGATTGGCATGGGCCTTTCGCCCTTGAGAGGGGAGCTAGCTACTCTCCTTCTAGCTTAGTAGTATCCCACCAGAGCTCCTGAAGGGAGGCTCCGAGGGGGTTGCACCCTGTGTCCCAGCCTGAGTTAATGTCCCCTTTCTCCTGTGCAGCTGAACCAGCAGGAAGGTTCCAACAAGGCTTGGAAGAACAAGTGAAGGCTGCCCCCTCAGCTTGGGGTGGTGCTGACCCTTGGAAAAGGCAAGAGCTTGGTGCCTCCTTCTGTCTGCAGCTCACTGCCAGAATCCCTGATGGAGACTTTCAAAGAGGTGGCTCCAGATGTCCCAGTTCTGAGTTGCACTTCCTTCCTTCTGTGGGACTGCACTTAGCTGGCTGTGCCGGCAGATTTTGGGAATACAAGTTCAGGCAGCCCTTTGTTTGGGGTGGCACAGGTCCTTGACCCTCTGAAAAGGAGATAGTGCTCACCTTCTTACTCAGTGGCACCCCTTCAGGGCTCCTGAATAGAGGATCCAAGGGGGTCGTGCCAGAATTTCCCAGTTCTGAGTTGTGACCCCTTTATGCTGTGAGGCTGAACCTGCAGGAAAGTGTAAGCGGGGCTTGAAGGAATAGATGAAAGCTGCCCCCTCCACTTGGGGTGGTGCCAGCCCTTGGGAGGGAGAGAGCTTGTCACCCCCTTCTATCTCTGCAGCTCACTGCTGGAGACCCTGATGGGTACCTCTGAGAGGGTGGCTCCAGATGTCCCAGTTCTGATTTGCACTTGTTTCCCCCTGTGGGACTGCACTTGACTGGCAGTACCGGCATATTTTTGGAGTGCAAATACAGGCAGGCCTTTGTTGGTGGTCGTGCAGGCCCTCAGCCCTTCCTAAGGAGGGGAGCTAGCCAGTCGCCTTCTGGCTTGGCAGTGCCCTGCCAGAGACCCTGAAGGGAGGCTTGCAAGTGCACACCTCCCCTCAGCTCCGCAGCTGCCTGCCACCTGAGGCCCTGACCAGGGGCACCTGCCTAAATCGTGGGAGGGGAAAAGGATTGGTTTCTGTCCCCAAGTCACTTGGTTCAGTGCTCGTCTGAGACCTTCTATAGTTTCTCCAGAAAAAGAATGCATGTCAGGTGCCCGTTGGGTACAACCAGCAGTCCTCTATGCTGGACTTGAGCTTGACAGGGTGTTGCCACCAGTATTTAGAGGACAGGGTTAGTACACTTTCTCCAGTGCTGTAAGAATAGAAATGCTGGACCCTAGGAGATGGTGCCCAAGGGTGGGCGGTGTGGGATGCTGACTTTGGACTGGGACATCAGAAGCCACCTTCCATATCTCCAGAGCTATGCCACCCAGATCTTCCCTTTATGGCTTCCATATGCCCTGAGTCTCCTTCCCTCTACCAGAGCCCCAGGTGAGTGCCTGAGAGTGAGTCCCTGTGCATTAGCCCTTAAGGAGCTTACCGGGGATTCAAGTAGACTCCCTCCTCTTTCCAGTGGACAAAGTCCCCATTTATTTTTGCTGCCAAATGTTATACAGACTCTTCTTCTCAGCCCTGGTGTTCTGTGTTGGGGGTCACAGTGTGAGATTGAGACCACACCTTCCCCCTTCAGAGAGACTTTTGCAGCTACAATATTTCTCTGACTTCATAGCTGCTGCTCCTGGGTACAGGGACCAGCCCTTTCTGTGTCTTTACCCTTTTTACAAGCTTCTGTGTAGCTTCTTTTTTTGAACCCTTGGATATAATACTCCTGTTCAGGTGTCTTTCTGTTGTTAATTCTGGTGAATTACTCTAAATTTCAGCTCTAACTCCATTTTGGCACCAGGAGGAGGTATGTGTTGCTTTCACCTGTTCCGCCATTTTTTCTCCTCTGTAACCATTGTTTTAAACTCCTCATCTGATATATTGGTTGCTTCCATTTCATTTAATTCTTTTAGAGGGATTTCTCTTGTTCTTTCATTTGGAGTATATTTCTTTGTCTCCCCATTTTGTGTCTGTATATTAGGTAGACCTGCTATGACTCCCGAACTTGTTATGATGGCTTTATGAAGAAGGTGTCTTGTTGGGCTCAGTCACACAATCTTCCAGATCACCTGAGCTCCATGCTCCAAGAATGTCTCTTGTGGTTTATGTGCACCGTCCTGTTGTAGTTGAGCTTTTAATGCTTTTGGCTTTTTCGTAGGTGAAGTTAACCCCTCAAGCTGGCTGACTATATGGATAAACCTCAGTCCTCCCCATGTATGAGTTGCTGTGCAGGGACTGCCCTCCAAGGTGGTGTTGTTCCCAGCAGGGTCTGGTGCCTGCCTCAATCTTCCTTTGCATGTGAGACTTGAATGGTAATTTGGGTCAAGCTCTAATGCGGCCTGAAGCCCACCACTGGTTTGAGGTCCACTTGGGTAGGGTTCAGCTACAGGTCAATGTCAGACGTGTGTAACTGTCCTTGGGCTATCTGTCTGGAACTGCCACACTGTTCACTGTGGCCCCATCTACTGGGCCTTGGTGTGCATGGGAGGGGCCAATCTGTATACAAGAGTTGGCTTCCTCCAGCTTAGAGCTGGGGGCAGATCTATAAAAGATCTGATGCCCTCTAAGGTTCACCTCTACCTGCCAGCTACTCCACCTCCCCCTGAAGTTGCCTGGCCTTTCTCCAGAGCTTTCTGAATGAAGACTGTAGGATGAGCTCAGGGTATCTCTGAACCACACATCCTTCCACAGGTTGTGAGCTCAGTAGGACAGGGCAACCATGGTCAGGACAATGCGGCTAATGGATCCCTTATTTGGGGGGGTTATGTGGTCTGGCACTCAATGAAGGGAAAGTGGGCCTTATTGCAGACACAAACCACTCAGTCTCTGCCAGTCTCCAACTTTAGCTTTCCCAGGAGGGGTTCCCTGCAGATTCAGGTTGGATGCTGTACCCTCTGCAGGAGCAAACTCAGCTGGGCAGAACCACCTGGCTCAGGAGGACAAATCAATAGAGTCTCTTGTTGGGGGTGATGCCAACCCATCCTGAAGGAGGGGGCCTTGCACTTCTTCCTGGTTCCAGACAATAGCCTCTGAGGGGCACACACACTAAAGGTCCCAGCTCCCAGCAGCTCTCCCTTTCCCCCATGGAACTGAGCTCAGTAGGGTGGGTTATTCAGGAGTTGGAAGGGCAGATCCAAACAGTCTCCCATTGTGGGTGGTGCCTACAAGCCTGTTGGAGGAGGGCAGGTTCTTGTTCCCCTTCCCAGGATAGTGCAGGCTGAACTGGCAAGGGAGATAGGAGTAGCTCCCCCATGATATAGTCACACAACCCAGCACCTACCCATTTGATTCCCAGACAAAAGCCCTTCCAGAAGACATTCTCTGAGAGTCCCAGCTCAGCACAGCCCTCTGATCCCCCTGTGCAACTGAACTCAGTGGGACAGGAACAGCCAAGTGATTTAACAGTTTTCAGGGGGCAGTGCCAGTTGTGTGCTAGAGGTGGAGGAGACTGGTCCCCTTTCCAAGTCACACAGTTCAGTCACTTTTTGAGTCTCCATCAAGAGCCTCCCCAGAAAAAAAGCACCCCAAAGTGAAGACCCCTCCACAGGACCTGAGCATGACACAGTGTCCTCGCCAGCCATCAGGGGACCAGGCAATGCACAACTCAGGCTGGTGCTGGAATAGGAGTGCCCGTCCCTGGGAAGGTGATATCTAGGTGGTCAGCAGACTGCCTTCTCTCCCAGGCAGAATGAATCCCCACTGATTCTTCACTACTAGATGCTATGTGAACTCCTTTTCCCATCTCTGTTGCTCTGGGTTGGGGTTCCTGGCAGGCGGTTCTTGGGTGTGGGAGTGAGTTTTGCAGCATAGATCTCTTTCTGCCTTCGCAGCCACTGCATGTAGGTGAAGGGGCCAGCCCTTTCTGTGTCTCCGCCCTTCTTACCAGTTTCTATGTGGCTTCTTCTATAAATCCTTGGTTATAATATTTCTGTTCACCTAGTCTTCAGTTGGTTATTCAGGTTTAATGCTCTATAATTTATCTGTAAATCTAGTTTGGGGCCGGAAGAAGGTGAGTGCAGCTGCCACCAATCTGCAGCCATCGTGGAATCCTGCTGTTTTCCAGTTGTAGACTATAATGTGAGATTTTAGAGAGTAATGATGGGGTAGAGTTATTGAGGAGAAAGACAAAGATTTTAAATAACGATTGTGAGAAGTTGGAAAGAGAAGAGATAGGAAAAACTGTTTGATCTTTCCTCTTTAATATAAGAAGTAGGTGATTTATTACATGTTGACTCACTGACCAATTTCTTTCTTTTTTCTAGGTAATATAACAGATTACATATTGGAAAGTAAAGAGTGTAATGTCTTCTCCATTATTGCACTTTCCATTGAGGTTAAGGAAAACAAAACAGTATTTACTATTTTGTTCAATAATGAGGCATACCACTCAGCTGCCACATCCCTGGCAGTGTTAGACAACATCCTCTTTATGTCACTTTCTGGCCCCAGTGCTTCCATTGAAGTCTCCAACAAGCCTCAGCCATACCCTCTTTATGAGTCTCACGCAGTGTATGTATGATTTTCCTTTTACTGTAATTGAGCCTTAATATTACCCCCTTGCAATTTGGCCATCTACATTAGAAAATAGCTATTGAAATAATTTTCTACTTTTATTTCATCATTCATTTTATTTTTTATTTCATCTTTTGTAGGCCTACAAATGGACGACAGATAGTATTAAATTTCTCTTTTGGCATGGCTGTTGTCATCGGTAGCTTTGGCATCCAGACAGTGACTGAGAGAACCACTAAGGCAAAGCACATCCAGTTTGTGAGTGGGGCCTATGTACTTGCCTACTGGCTCTCTGCCTTGCTGTGGGACCTCATCTACTTCTCCATTTCCTGCTGCTTACTACTGGTGAGTGTTAGCTGAAGTTACATGAAGGCTAATTTTTCTGTCACCCACAGGAAATTCCTCTTCAACTAATAGTGTCTTAAAATAAAAGTTGTAACAAAATTTGAAACTGCTTTGGCTTATTATGTCAGAGAACATATTGTGGAAACATTCTCCCTCGTATTCTTTCAGTTGGAGAAAATACTTTTCTTTGAAAAGTCTCTCTTGAATTGGCTTCTCATGTAATTCTCAACATTATACCCTGCCCCAAAACTCTAAAATGGGCTATTATTATCCTCTATAGTGGATAAACTACCCATTCTTTACCAAACTATACCATGGAATGGTAAAAATAGTTGGAGGAAAAAGGAGAATCTGTGAGTCAATCTGGCTCCTACAACCATAAGAAAACATGATTATTGCACAGGGGCCCTGGGATTGGTTCTGAAGGAAAACCAGGATTCCACCAGCTAGAACAGCTTCTCAGCGGGGACTGGGGGCTGGGCAGGTTGGGGCAGGGATGGTGGTGGTAGTGTGGTGAGCAGATAGTATGTACAGAGGAGTCCCAGGGTGCAGAGAGTAGTGTGGGGCTTTCATCTCACAACAGTGCAAGACTCTGGATGGTGTTCTCCTGTCAGTCTCTCCTGCTCACAGCTCACCAGCTGACCAGCATAACAAGGGAAAACCACCATTCTTTGTGAGGGATGCTACTCTCATCCTTCACCACAGGAACTGGGGGAACTGCTCCAGACATGGTCTCTGGCTTTACTATCTTCCTTCTGTGTAATGCAGTATGTATTGAAATCAATCAGAAAACCCCTGAATCATCTCATCTCTATGTCAGGAATCTGTTCTTTCTCTGACTTGAAACTTGACTTGCATACCCAGCTATCTTTTCCTGGTTAATAGCTCTATAAACAAGACCATCCATTATTAATACTTATACCAATATTGCCATTTATGGCTCATGAGAAAAGTTACTTGTCATGTGTTTTTTGTTACGTCACTCAGTTTTACACATTTACCTGAAATTATGTTAATTCATCATATTTACAGGCAAGGAAACTGAGGATCACAGAAATAAGTTACCTATCTTACTTCACTCAGATTGTACAGTTAGAACCCTGGTTGAGGTTATTCCAAAGCTCATTGTCATTTATACATTCAAAGTTATCCTGGATAATGTATGTCAAACTTATTTCTGCTCTCATATTTGTAGTTCTCTCTGCCTTAGCATCTTACTCTACTCCAGCTGTATTTTTTTTGTTTCTCTCCTTCTCTCTCTTTCTTCCTCTGTTTCTCATCTTCTCCTTCCCCCCCTTTTTCTCTTCACCTCTCTCTCTTTCTCCCCTCCACCTAAAATTTCCCTTAATGATTCTCAGACTGGGTGCTCTACATGGCTTCTTAGTTTTGCTCGTTTATCTGACTTGGATATCCCCTGGCTTTTAATGGGATACTCCCCCACCCTGCTCTGGTTCTGTGAAATGCCACCAACTGGACTCATTCTTGGACCAAACGAGGAGGCAAGATTCTGTCATTTTGCCTAGCAACCAGGATTCCTGTTCAACCCCTCTCTGCCTGTCAGATTTACAGAGCAGGTAACTGTATTGCTCATATGTCAGAGACAAGGATTCAGCTAACCATGTTGCTGGCTCCAACCCCTGATGAACTAAACTTTCCTAGTACTGTTTTACCTGCCACTTCAGGAGATTTTGAGTGGGGTTTAGTAAAGTCCTCTACCTTTTCCCATCACTGGGCCCATGTATGAAGGCTTGGGAAAGCCGAACAAGTAACTTTTCACATGAGTTAATGTTACCAGGGACACTGTGCGATGAGGCTTCCTTCTCATGCAGTCTGTCCCCATCTTCATTACCGTTAGATGTCCTATAGAAGACATTTGAAAGCCCCTACCTTCCTGAACACATAAAATTATTTATTCAACAAACATTGAGCTCCTGCTGTAAGCTAGTCTGTGTTTAGGCATGGATACAGCATGGGAAACATGGACAAGGGCTCATCTCATACTGGCCTCACCAAGGGATTAGATAGCTAAGTTAACATCACTTTGGAGATATGTCTCTCATAAGCCTTGAGAGACGCTGTTTTCATCATTGTACAGCTCAGTTCTGGAAATCTGTCTGGGAGCTCCCTCTTTCACTCGATCAGGCCGTTACACATTGGGCACAGCTTGCTTTGCTAGTGTCATCTTTTGCTGTTTCCTCCTCATTCATAAATTTATTATTAGGTAAAGAGCCAAGTGAGGATTCCGGTTTTTCCCTAAATAATTAACCCATCATTCTACCATCTTTTTTGGATAGCCAATGCCCACTGATTTGAAACATTACTTTTGATGTATATTAACTAATATTGATTTAAGTATATTTTGTATTCCTTACTTCATTGATGTATCTGTAATTTGCCACTACCAATATGTTTGTTTGTTTTGTTTTGTTTTTCCTTGTTTAAGAAGTTTATTATTGGCTATAGCTAGGAAAAGTGGCTGAAGCAGTGCTCATTGGTGTTCTGGCCCCAAAACACTTCTTTTTTAATCTTTTATTTTTATTGTTGACATTATTACAGATGTCCCCCATTGCCCCCCGTTGCCTACCTCCACCGAGATCTTCCCTCTCCTCCCTCTGGCTCTCACCACATTGTTGTCTGTGTCCCTGAGTTATGCATATGTTTTTTTAATTTACATTTATTGTTGAAAGTATTACAGGTGTCCCATTTCCCCCCCCCCC